CTAACATACCATGGCAATCCGCGAACAGAAAAATAAAAATGTGTGGTAAACTGCCCCTGTTTTGATCCGTATTTTGCGAATTCGGCAAATTTGAGATGTGTAACACTGACTCCGCCTAATCGAAATGCCGCCACTCTCACTTACTTAAATTTCACAGTAAAATTTATTTTAGCACAATAAAAATTGATTGAATATACTTTAGATTATTTATATTATACACATCCTCACAACCCGGGAAAAGTCGCGTTTCAAACCTTGTATAATATTAACACGAAAATTTTTAACGGCAATTTAAATAAAGTAATGGATAATCAGGCAAATCCCGCCCTCAATTAGTGACGATATGTTTCTAAACGCGGACCAAACATAATATGTGTGATTTTCACTGCATAGAAAAGCGTTTTTAAACTGTTGCGGGCCTCAATAAAACATATTTTGTTTACGGTTTTATTCTCAGTATTTTAAATTGCGGCATTTCAATCAAAAAATTTGCGTTTCCTTAGATGCGCCGAACCGGATAAACAATTCCGTGGGAGTACAAAAATAAAGTAATTGTCATCGTTATCATGGAACAAATTTGTGGAAAATTTGCGTTTTAGAGAAAATAACACAAACGTAAAGGCGTTTACGGCCTAAATAACACGTTACGCCGATGAGTGATAAAAACAATCACGCGCAAGTTATCGAGAATGTTTTCATTCAACGGAAACGTCTTGAAAGCGGCTTCGAAAATGTGTGACGTCACACAAATATCCGATATTCTTATGAACGCTAATTCCGATATTCGAATGACGAGATATTCGAATACTTTATTCGAATTGGCCATCCCTGCTTGCAGCTTTGTTTGCAGCATAATTCTGCTTCCTAGTAATTTAACATTCGAGACGGACCAACCCAGGTACTTATTAAAACTCGTTGATAGGGATTTAGAATTATTATAATTTAATATAAACTACATATTATCAAGTCATATGTATATATAACGTTGTATAGGCTGTCCATAAAGTCTTAATTTTTTTTGCGAACGGAATTTATATACCCAATATATTAGTTTGACCTCACAGATGTATTAAAGGAAGTAACAGTTTTCAAACAATTACTGATTAAAAATAAAAACCTAGTCACGATATATTGAGAACTGACTTCACAACCAATTTGAAATTGTGAAGGGACATGATGGAATTTCTGTATATATGTTGCAAGTTTTAGGAAATTGCCAACACCCAAGTGCAATAGCAACTGACGATACTGCATGAACACCATGCAATCTAATGGGCTACTATCCGCAAATTGTAAACCGTCTAAATTTGACTGACAGCGTCAATGGGAATAATGTTTAACAAAATCATCAACCAAGACACGTGCCTGCTTTATCTATTTAATTTGTGATGTAACAATGTGCTCAAGTCGTTTCTTTGCGTGAATGACTTTTTATATTTCATGTGCGCCGTGTTTGCATCGTTGTCTCCAACTAATTATTTATAAGTTAATTATATTAGAGTTTAGGATCTCTAACTTAAGCTATACACTTTTCGTATACCGTTTATCAGTTGTATACCCTACTTATGGTCCGGTATACACTTGGGTGTATACAATATACCCGATTGAAGAGCGTAGATATAGAGGACATAAGCGTACAGTCACCCGATAAAAGCTACTTCATTTTATACTACATCATCTTAACCAGTCCAGCCGGGCTTCTATCTAAAAAATCAAGACGTCTCGTATTTTTGTGATGACCAATAAACGATATCGATCACAGTTAACTCAACTCCTGTTTCACTGCACTCGATTAAATCGGAACCTCCGCGACCTCTTCTACGTGCGCAAGGCAAATGGAATATTTGTTCGGATACGACTCGCCATTCATGCAATAACCAAAATTGATTCCCTAGTGACATCATGCGGAAATATTCAAATACCTACACCTTTAAAAGTTACATAGTTGCGCAGATGGAATGTTGACTTTTTAATTGTTTTGGGAGTCATATAATGAAACCACTAATTCAACTGAAAAAGGTATAATTTAGGACGAATAAGACAAGAATCGTAGTTATATTTTATAAGATGCTTCGGAACGGCCTCATTCAAAATGCGATGTACAAAGCATTTATTGGTATGTCAGGAGCAATTTTTATTTTGGAGAAAATAAAATCTTACTTATTCGGCACAGCCTACCCAATTCATTACACGAGTTAATGCATGTCTCGAATTATGAGCTCATTTCTCCTTCTTGCCTTTCTTCGAGCTAGCAATAGATAAAACTAAATATACAATACTATTCAGAACAATTGATTCAATATCGCCGATTTCTAAATAAAGTAATGATGTATGGGTGATTTTTATTACTTTTCTACAATATGGTTGACGATAAGATTCAGCCCAGCACTGTGGTCGAGGATCTATATGTGCGACCGTGCATCAACTCCGATGTAGTGGGTATTTTACTGATAATAAATTGAATTGAGATGTCGCAAAATGATTCATCGTAATATTCATTAGTTGGGGCTCCCGAAGTATGCGAACCAAGATGGCGGACATCGGAATGTAATATGTGTACTAGGTTAGGGTTAGGCCATAATTTCGGGAGGCTCTTGGCTAGTCTTCGAACTGATAATAGGACTAAAATAAGGAAAATTGGAAAAAAATTATCTCCTAACTTGTTACCCGTGTCACGTTCCGATGTCCGCCATCTTGGTTCGCATACTTCGGGAGCACCCATTTGTTATTGTTGAAGTTTTATTTTTAATGTGTGTGAGACGATACTGGTCTACCATTTTTCGGTACCTTTGGTAGAACAGAGCTTTTTTCTCGAACGTGTCACTTTTGTTTCTGTGTAACACAAATTCGTCATTTAAGAAATCAGCTTTGATCAAATCATCCAATCCGAGGTCTTCGTTTCCACCACTTTGTCTCAAATTATCGAACGCATTGTCCACTAAATCGCAATCCATGCACGTATTCGTTATCACAATGAATGAATAAATTAAACTATCTAGTTCCTCCATAGTTTTACATTTAAACAATTTTGATATCCAGAACATGAAGTGCGTTATAATGTGCTTCGTTTTTTTGAGATATTTTGTGCACATGATTTTGGCCGCTCTCATGGCATGGCTGTAGCAATTTGTCACAATAACTTTTTTTAAATCTGATACGCATGGATGGCCTGTTACAATTCTCCAACATCGTTGATAATATTGAAGAAGAGTTTCCTTGGAAAAAGATCGCAAAACTGCATTCCACATTGCAGGTGACCCGTCTAACATTATTCTGATTGGCAATTTATTAGATCCGCATTCGTTGAGGAAATTGTCTAGAAAGTGACTAATATTTACGTAGGTATGATCACTCGTCAAAAAAGATGCCACAGGTAGCGGAGCATTCTCTATGAAAGGGTTTCGTACAAGAAGGGTATATATTTGAAAATCTGCGAGTTCATGCTGACGACGCACAACGCTTCCTGTTGCATCAAAGTACAAAATATCGTTTTTTACAACTTCTCGGTACACTCTGATTTGAAAATTTGTCATGAACCTTACAGCAGGTGGAATTGCTGAAACAGTCCGCAAAAATGGCTTGTTTTCTTTAATTTCATGTTTGCGTTGAATATTTAAATTTTCTACCCAACTTTTTGTCTCCCCATGGTCTCCTAATTCGCTTTTCATTTTACGAATAGCTGCTTTAGTTGGAGCTCCGGTATAATTGCCACACATGCGTTGATTTTCCGATAATTTGTCGTAACAGTCCAGATAAATGTTTTCCGCTGATGTCAGTTTTAATTTTTCCTTGAGATGCTTTCGGGCTGTTTCAGTTACCCGCCTTCTTTTCGAGCATGACAGAAAATGTCGTCTCCTTCCGTCAATTTTCACTCGCGCCTCAATCCTTCGTCCAATCGATCATATTTCTATGACGCCCTTTACCTTGCAATGACACTTGCTTTTGTAGTTAGTGTGTGCGCAATACAAGGTAATTTTTCCCTCGTAGCATTCCTTGGTCCGAACAGCATCATTTTTTCTCAAATAATGGTTTTTAACAGCTGGGGTATATCCGTCATCTAGTTTGTGGAATGAATTGACAGCGAAATCAATATAAGCCGAATTTCCAAATCTAAGGTCGTTTCGTTTTTTAGTTAGTCTTTTCCAAGTGTCGAGAGGAATTTATTGAGTATGTCTGATTTTAATATACTTGTCTAAAATTTCGTTGCCATATGTTGACTCGCAGTCGCTGTCGGAAGAGGAATTATAAGTACTGAAAATAGAACAAGAAGAGTCTGGATCATTAGCATTCACGCATTCATTCGGGCCATCACCTTGTTCCAAATTAATTAGAGCTTCATAATCTTGCATTGAATCAGTGTTGTATGCTGTTTCAGAGATGCACGGTGAGAAAAAATTAACATCGAGCACTGTAACGATCAATCTTTCCCTTTTTAAATAATAACAATGTCATGGTTCATTTAACACCCATTATGACATCACATAGATGTCACGTGACGCGAGCCCGCGTTCGACCGACTCTGACCCAAGGTCAGCCCGTTGCTTCAGGTTGCGTCTTGCATTTGGCGGCGCCTTTCTAGTTTATGTTTCTGGCTTTGCTTTACCGTCGGTAGATTCCATTTTAGGTCATTAGCTAGTATGCTGCTTATTTATTTAGTTTGTTGTTAATTCAAGCATGTTTGTCCTACAGATGTAGACTTGTAGTTGGTAGCCCAAAAAATTCTTTAAATATACGGTATACGGCACACGGAATTAGAATATAATATACAGTACACAGTATATAGTCTACAGGCTGGCCATCTCGGTCGGGACGTATTTGTCGCCTTCAAATATCATCAGGTTAAAGGGCGTCACTTACATCGTTTAAAGAATTTTGAGTTGAGTGGACAAGTCACTCAACGCATTTTATGATTGCCCAGGCCACAATTCAAGATTGATTTGTACAGATAAATTTCACTGACTGATTATTAAAAATTCATTTCTCCAATCACATCATTTATGATGGCTTCAAACAGTTCAAGTGCTGATTGGCAAGTTTTTGATGATGCTAAAAGTACAACATCTAACAACTCGCGTTGTAGCAAGATGTCTAGTGTCAGCCAACGCTCGGAGCGTGCTCGTTTAACACAGTTAAAGTTGAAGGAGATGGAAAATGAAGCCCAGCTCCAAAGACGCAAAGTAGAAATGGATCAAAGAAAGGTGGAAATGGAGCAGGCAAAGCTTGAAATTGATATTAACTTGTCACGCGCTAAGGCATCCATGATAGATGAGGAATTAGAATCTCTAGCGTCCGCCAGTCGGGCACCTTCATGTGTAGGTTCTATTTCTTCGTTACGACAAGATGTAACTCAAGTTTTAAATGTGCCTCCCGCAATGCCAAATAATGCATCTGGCGAACCAGTTAATGCATGTCTTGATGAAGTTGAACCAGCGTCAATTTCTCATGAGCACCAGACAAAGCAAACTCCTCCATTTCAAAGTCATTTCAGCCCACCTATTGCGTCACAAACATACATGAACAAAGATTATCTTCCTAGCATACAACAAGCAAATCATCCTTATATTGGTCAGGTTCCCCAGTCGGAACAACACGCTACCAGGTGCTGAATATCACTCACCGGGAGACATAACGAGCAATGTAACATTAACCATACTGCTGCGGACAGATACCACCCAGTCTATCAAGCACCACAAGAGATGCAATATAATTCATCTTTTACATACAATAGCATTCTGCAACCTCAACCAATAAGACAGGAGTCTAAACATGTTCCTGATAGACAAGTTTTTATGCAAGGTAATCCAACTAGCTATAGCCATGGGCCTACACCAGTTTTGGTTGGTGATAACCAAAATTCAATGAGTCTTGCTGATGCTCTGTATTGCATGGCATCTTCAATTAGACAAGGACCTCAAGAAATAGAGAAATTTGATGGAGATGCGTTAAGTTATCACAGGTTTATTCAAAATTTTGATGATATGTATGATAGTAAAATTGCAGATCCTCGTACTAAACTTAACTATTTGATTGATCAATGTACCGGAAAAGCCAGGAAAGCAATCGAATCGTGTATCATAGTAAAACCACCTTTGCAAGGCTATCTTGATGCTCGCTCAATTCTCAAACAACAATTTGGACGAGATTACAAAGTTGTAAATGCATTTATGGATTCACTCAAAAATGGTCCTAGCATAAAGCCACAAGATTCTGAAGCATTATATGATCTTGCCACACAAATGCGTAATTGTGGTATCATTTTAACAAATTGGGAACATAGCTCTAAGCTTGACAGTCAAGAGCTGTTTGACAAAATCTATTTACGACCTCCAGTACCAATGCAAAGAGAGTTCACAAGACATCATACATCTACTTACAATAGTGACAAAGAACCAACCTATCATGATTTGTATAAATTTGTTAATCAATCTGCGATATTGGCAGATACTAGGCTAAGCCGTCTCACTGCAGAGCAAAATTTGAAGAATAGAAATGCTATGCCAAAAAAAAGCTATAATTCTACCAAGGTGTCCGAGGTGTGTTTTCGAATTGTTTACTTTGTGATGGACCCCACAGGTTGTGGAAATGTGAATCTTTTATCAAGAAGTCTGTTCCAGAACGTGCAAAGTTTATCCAGTCAAAAGCTTTATGTTTTAATTGTTTTCGTACCAAGCATGTAGCACGCAACTGTCCCAGTGACAACCGATGCAAAATTGAGAACTGCGGAAAATTGCACCATTCGCTTCTACACAACCAAGAACGTATCAGACAGGACAAGCCTTCTGATAGAAATTCTGCAAGTGACACTTCAACTCATGTTGTCAATGGAAGCACTGATGCATCAATTCTCAATTCAAGGAAAAGGGTATATCTCATGATTGTACTAGTTAATGTAACTTCGTCAGATGGTTCACACTCTGTAAAAACCACTGCACTTCTTGATTATGGCTCAAATGCAACTCTTTGTAAGCTAAGTCTTATGAAGAAACTTAAGGTGAAAGGGAAGCAAGATTCTTTCACAATTTCCACAGTCAATGGCCTACATAAGCAAAACGGCTACAGATTGGACCTTAATGTTAAGGGTCTACAGGAATCTGACAAGTTTATGTTGGAAGATGTTCTAGCTGTTGAGTCACTTCCAATACTTTCAGATGGACTTCCTACGAAGGCAGATATACAAAGTTACCGGCATCTTAACGGTATTGATTTTCCTGAAATAGGGAATCATGAACCAGAATTATTGATTGGTGCTGATAATTATGAAGCTCTAATAATTCAAGATAGAAGACTAGGAAATAAAGGCCAACCTGCAGCTGTTCATACCCCACTTGGATGGACACTCATAGGCAAAAATGTTTCAAGGGTCACCAATGGTATGTCCATCAATTTTGCTAACGTTGAAAAAGATATTCTTTGTGAACAATTGCAAAAAATGTTTAATTGTGACTTCAGTGAATCTGATTTCACTGAAGTATTTGCATCTTCAATCGAAGATACGAGAGCTTTGTCAATCATGAAAAATTCAATATGTAAAGTCGATGGTCACTATCAAATGAGGTTACCATGAAAATGTGAAGAACCACAATTCCCACAGAGTTATAAATTTGCAAAGAAACGACTTGATTATTTGAAGAGAAAATTTCAACGTGATCCAGAATATCTTGAAAAATATAAAGAGAAAATTCATGAATATATTGACAATGATTATGCTAAGAAAATACCTGAAGACCATGTCCCATCTGATGAAAAGAAGATTTGGTATTTACCTCATCACTCAACTGGTGAAAAGTTTAGGCTTGTGTTTGATTGTTCTTTCAAGGTGGACAATGTATCTCTCAACAATCAAGTATTACAAGGACCAGACCACTGCTCAAATCTTGTTGGAGTTCTGACCAGATTCAGACAGGAAGACATAGCCTTTGTGTGTGACATAAAAGGAATGTTTCATCAAGTTGAAGTTCATCCTGATGATTGGGATTCCCTAAGATTTTTATGGTATCCAAATGATGACCTTTCAAAGGAATTCTATTTTATGACCAGAAGTCTTTTCGGCCTAACCAGTTCACCCAGTGCAGCTGGATATGCTTTAAAAAGAGCTGCTATAGATAATGAAACAAATGCTAATATTGATGTTTTAAATACAGTTAATAATAATTTTTATGTTGATGACTGTTTGAAATCTTGTGATTCTCCTAATTGTGCTATTGATACAATTAATCAGTTAGATTGCTTATTATCTAATGTAGGTTTTCACCTTACCAAGTATCGCAGTAACTGCCGGTCTGTTCTTTCTTCTATTTCAGATATAGACAAAGCCAAAGATAGTTTTTTGGATTTAACTCTTGATAAATCATATTGCTCTAAGACACTTGGTATTATGTGGAATAATGTCAGTGACCAGTTCACTGTGAAAGTGGACATAAAGCCAAAGCCTTTCACGAGACGTGGTTGTCTCTCTATGATATCACAAATATATGATCCACTGGGTATGATGCAACCATTCATCTTACCAATGAAAAGCCTCATGCAAACTTTATGTGCTCAAGATATTGGATGGGACTCTCCGATCTCAACCCGATATGAGGAAATATGGCAAAATGGGTTAACGAGCTTCCTAAACTGCAGGAAGTGTCAATTCCCAGATGTTTCAAACCACCAGGATTTAAGACGGACCACATTGAGCTTCATACGTTTTGTGATGCCAGCCAAGTTGGATATGGTGCAGTAAGTTATTTGCGCATGACGTCACAAAATGGTGTTATTCGTTGCTCATTTGTTTTGGGAAAATCTCGAGTCACACCCAGAAAGCAGATTACCATCCCAAGGTTGGAGCTATGTTCTGCTGTACTTGCAGTGAAGCTCAGTCGATTTGTCCTAAAGGAGTTGGAATACAAAGTCAACAATGTTTATTACTGGACAGATTCAACTTCGGTGCTCCAGTATCTATCGAATACATCAGCAAGGTATCATGTTTTTGTAGCTAACCGAGTGGCTCAAATCCGCAATAGTTCAGCGATTGTTCAATGGAGACATGTAGACACTAAGAATAACCCTGCAGATGTAGCTTCAAGAGATTTAAGTCCGAGATGCATCGACAAAGCCATTTCTTGGTTCAACGCGCCTGAGTTTCTTTGGCATTCTCAGGAACACTGGCCAAAGCGTCCTGAAGTTTTACCTCAAATTTCTGAGAATGATCCTGAAGTCAAGACTGTCATAAATACAAAGGTTGATGTGGCAAAGGATAATGTCAAGTCTGTGCAAGAGGGACATAGTGGCACGTTACATGTTCTTGCAGTCATTCGAGAACGTTACTGGATAATACATGGTCAATCTACTGTTCGCTCTTACCTAAGGAAATGTCTTAAATGCCGAATGCAAAGAGCAAAGGTCGGCAAACAAGTTATGGCACCTCTTCCTGCCAGCAGGGTAACCCCAGGTCATCCAGCGTATACATGGACTGGAATAGATTATATGGGGCCAGTCCTAATCAAGCAAGGAAGAAGCACAATAAAGCGATATGTTTGTGTTTTTACATGTATGTCTTCTCGTGCTGTTCATCTCGAAGTTTCACATTCTTTGGAGACTAATTCGTTTCTAAATGCCTTGGAACGATTTTCAAGTCGTCATATCATGCCAAAGGAGATCTACTGTGACAATGCATCTACATTTGTTGGAGCCGAACGAGAACCCATGCTGCAATAAAGTCCTGGAACAATGATAAAGTACACCACTATATGCTTAATCGTGGTGTCAAGTTCATCCACTCACCTCCACTTGCTTCCCACCAAGGAGGATGTTGGGAAAGAATTATTCGTACAGTGCGTAAAGTTTTGTATGCACTGGTTGGAGAAAGAGTGCTTGATGATGAAGGCCTACAAACGTTTCTGTGCATTGTGGAACGAATCATCAATAATCGGCCTATCACATCCAGTGACGATGCTGCGGATGCTCTCCCTCCAAAGTCCAAAGATGCTGTTGACGGGTCAACTTGACTCATCGCTTTCACCTGGAGAGTTCAATCGAGCAGATGGATATCGTAAATCCTGGAAACTAGTCCATCGCTTAGCTGATCAATTTTGGTCACAATGGATCAAGCAATATCTTCCTCAACTTCAGGCCAGACAAAAGTGGCTCCATCCTGAAAGAAACTTCAAAAAAGGCGATTTAGTTCTTGTTGTTGATGAAACCACCAAACGAGGATTATGGCCCAAAGGAATAATTAGGGAAACCTTTTCTGATAGTAATGGTCATGTTAGAAGAGTGCGTGTAGACACTGCCTCTTCATCTTTCATTCGTGATATCAGAAAATTGTGCTTCCTAGAGGAATTGTGAAACATTGATTGCAATTACCAAATGTTACAATATGTTTAGATCGAGGCTTTGCTCTATGAGCTTTATTGAGGCTATTTAGACAATTTTGGCTTATTGGTCGCTAAGACATGCATATATGTATATATTCATCTTTGTACTATTCCATTAATTTGTGGAGTGATGTTTCATGAGTTTCGTTCGATTAATAGTTATGTTTTTATGTGATTTTTTGATCGTTTTGTTTTTGAAATAACTTTCCACAGTCCCGGTCAAGTTATTGGGGGCGGTATGTAACGATCAATCTTTCCCTTTTTAAATAATAACAATGTCATGGTTCATTTAACACCCATTATGACATCACATAGATGTCACGTGACTCGAGCCCGCGTTCGACCGACTCTGACCCCAAGGTCAGCCCGTTGCTTCAGGTTGCGTCTTGCATTTGGCGGCGCCTTTCTAGTTTATGTTTCTGGCTTTGCTTTACCGTCGGTAGATTCCATTTTAGGTCATTAGCTAGTATGCTGCTTATTTATTTAGTTTGTTGTTAATTCAAGCATGTTTGTCCTACAGATGTAGACTTGTAGTTGGTAGCCCAAAAAAATTCTTTAAATATACGGTATACGGCACACGGAATTAGAATATAATATACAGTACACCGTATTATCTTTCGTCACTCAAAAGAACTGGATTAATTGGTTTCAAATTAGTTTAACACATTGCAAGTCAGTGGCAATCATATTGGACGAAGGAATTTAGGAATACAGCCAGCTATATAGTCTACAGGCCGGCCATCTCGGTCGGGACGTATTTGTCGCCTTCAAATATGATCAGGTTAGAGGGCGTCACTTACAAGCACTTCTGTTTTTGAGTAGCATTCATCAGCTTATTTGTACCTTTTTTACATGGCATATAAGAACAATCCCATTGCATAAAATTTGATTGTTGAAAATTTTTTTTGTCATTTTCTTTTGTACACGTTGCGTTGTAAACTAATCCTGAACCCATTGTGTCATTGTGGACTACTATTCGAGAACCATCACGAACAAGGGCTACAGATTCCCAGTCTTTATGAGATATTTTTTTTAAATCTTTTTCCGGAAGAATGCAGCGTGGGTGAAACCATTCCTTACAACTCTCACACTGAGCCATGTGTTCGTCGTTCTATCCACTTCGGCATATGCAAAATTTTTATCATTATTTTTACACTTCTGACTGGTACTTTCATCTATTTGTACATCTTCCAACCTTACCAACTTTTGAATTTTATCGCGATTCTTTGATATCCTTTTTTCTCCGGTTAATTGAATGGCCACTGCTCTTTTTTCTGACGAATCGTTATGCTTCTTCTTGTATGGGATGTTATGATTTTCTCGTGATGGTTCAATATCACATGTGGGGTTAATAATTTTAAAATTGCACAAAGTTTCTTCTATCACACCAGTATTATTTCTTACAAAATTATTTAGATATGAAATTCGTTTAATACGAGATTTCTTTGGCCAATAATTGTTGATTTTTAAGAATTCCTGTTTGACATGAGCGGAACTGAATGAGGTTTCTCCATTCAAGAAATAGAAATTTGCATAGTCATCAATTATTGTAGTATTTTTATTTCCTCTTGTGTCACTCCTCATTCGCCTATTGATTCTTTTTGTCTCTCTTCTTTTCCTAGTTTTCAGTGGTTCTGATATAAAGTTGCCTTTGCTGGTGTCAGCCCTGGTTTTCATTTTATCACCTCAGTTGAAACTGATCATATCATATTTTGCATGATTTAATTTCTATTCTTCTTTCTATAAATATTACACAGGATAATTAATTTTGTTCACAGTTCGTGAGCTGAGGTCGGGGTAGGATTTAAACGTCGAGAAGCCCTTGTCTAAGATATGCCATTTGTTCGGTCCGTTTTTAGCAGCAACGTCATAAAGAATCCTTAATAATTTCATAATTTCAAAAGTTATCGGAAAATAAAATAACATATACGAATTTGGCGTCGAACAATCGATGACGCATTAAATATGACAAAATGCGATTTTCATCAATTTTTTAAGGCCCCTATTTTTTTCAATTTCATTCCGCTGGTGATCATACTTTGTTCTTGGACACTTCAGTTATACTCAAAAACGAAATCATTGTCAAAAGTTGTCGGAAAATAAAATAACATATTCGAATTTGGCGTCGAACAATTGAAGTGGCACAGAATACGATGTTCATCAATTTTTGAAGGCCCATATTTTTTTTCAATTTTCATTTTGCTGGTAATCATATTTTGTTGTGGGACACTTCAGTTATACTTAAAAACGAAATCATTGTCAAAAGTTATCGGAAAATAAAATAATATATACGAATTTGGCGTCGAACAATCGATGACGCATTAAATATGACAAAATGCGATTTTCATCAATTTTTTAAGGCCCCTATTTTTTTCAATTTCATTCTGCTGGTGATCGTACTATGTTTTTGGCCACTTCAGTTATACTTAAAAACGAAATCCTTGTCAAAATTGTCGGAAAATAAAATAACATATTCGAATTTGGCGTCGAACAATCGAAATCGCACAAAATACGATTTCCATCAATCTCTGAAGGACCGTATTTTTTTCAATTTTCATTCTGCTGGTGATCATACTATGTTTTTGGCCACTTCAGTTATACTTAAAAACGAAATCATTGTCAAAATTGTCGGAAAATAAAATAACATATTCGAATTTGGCGTCGAACAATCGATGACGCATTAAATATGACAAAATGCGATTTTCATCAATTTTTGATAGCACCTATTTTTTTAATTTTCATTCTGCTGGTGATCATACTTTGTTGTTGGACACTTCAGTTATACTGAAAAACGAAATCATTGTCAAAATTTGTCGGAAAATAAAATAACATATTCGAATTTGGCGTCGAACAATTGAAGTGGCACAAAATACGATAAATTACGATTTTCATCAATTTTTGAAGGCCCCTATTTTCTTCAATTTTCATTCTGCTGGTAATCATATTTTGTTGTTGGACACTTCAGTTATACTTAAAAACGAAATCATTGTCAAAAGTTGTCGGAAAATAAAATAACATATTCGAATTTGGCGCCGAACAATCGAAGTCGCACAAAATACGAATTTCATCAATTTTTGAAGGCCCATATTTTTTTCAATTTTCATTCTGCTGGTGATCATACTTTGTTTTTGGACACTTCAGTTATAACTAAAAACGAAATCATTGTCAAAAGTTGTCGGAAAATAAAATAACTTATTCGAATTTGTCGTCGAACAATCGATGACGCATTAAATATGACAAAATGCGATTTTCATCAATTTTTGAAGGCCCCTATTTTTTTTAATTTTCGTTCTGCTGGTGATCATACTTTGTTGTTGGACACTTCATTTATACCTAAAAACGAAATCATTGTCAAAAGTTGTCGGAAAACGAAATAACATATTCGATTTTGGCGTTGAATAATCGAAGTTGCACAAAATACGATATTCATCAATTTTTGAAGGCCCCGGTTTTCTTCAATTTTCATTCTGCCGGTAATCATATTTTGTTGTTGGACACTTCAGTTATACTAAAAATGAAACCATTGTCAAAAGTTGTCGGAAAATAAAATACCATATTCGAATTTGGCGTGAATAATCGAAGTCGCATTAAATATGACAAAATGCGATTTTCATCAATTTTTGAAAGCCCCTATTTTTTCAATTTTCATTCTGCTGGTGATCATACTATGTTGTTGGACACTTCAGTTATACTGAAAAACGAAATCATTGTCAAAAGTTGTCGGAAAATAAAACAACATATTCGAATTTGATTTCGAATAATCGATATGGCACAAAATACGATTTTTATCAATTTTTGAAGGCCCGTATTTTTCAATTTTTATTCTGCTGGTGATCATTCTTTGTTGTTGAACACTTCAATTATACTTAAAAACGAAATCATTGTCAAAAGTTGTCGGAAAATAAAATAACATATTCGAATTTGGCATCGAATAAACGATTTGTCTACAAATATGACAAAATCTGATTTACTTCAATTTTTGAAATCCCATATTTTTTTTAGTTTCATCCTGCTGGTGATCATACTTTGTTTTTTGATACTTGAATTATACATAAAAACGAAATCGTTGTCAAAAGTTGTCGGAAAGTAAAATAACATATTCGAATTTGTAGTGGAATAATCGATATTGCCCAAAATACGATTTTTATCAATATTTGAAATCTATTTTTTTTTTATTTACATTCTGCTGGTGATCATACTTTGCTGTTGGAGACTTAAATTATACATGTAAATGAAATCATTGTCAAAAGTTGTCGGAAAATAAAATAACATATTCTAAATTGCCGTCGAATAGTCAATATCGCTCTTAATATGACAAAATCTTATTTTCGTCAATATTTGAAGGCCCATATTTTTTAATGGTTATTCTGCTGGTGATCATACTTTGTTATTGGACACTTGAGGTATTTATGTAAATAAAATCATTGTCTAAAGTTGTCGGAAAATAAAATAACATATTCGAATATGGCGTCGAACAATCGATGACGCATCAAATATGACAAAATTTGATTTTCATCAATTTTTGACGGCCGATATTCGATATCCTATACTTCATGAAGACTCGCTTTGTTCCTTACCCCATATCATATATAATACTTGTGACTATCTCTATCATTCAGAATTACTCTTATTATATTCGAATTTGGCCTCATACATTACAGTTAGCATTAGTGACATTGCAAAAAATCCTACTGATATTTTTGGTGTTCCCTTATGTGATATTAAATTTTGTTTTGTTTTTCGTGCTAACATATTCTTTTTTTATGTGATTCTCCGTCATGTGAATCTTATTTATGTATTTTATAATTACCAGTACCAGCTTAATGTGCTTCGTATCTTTTTCTCCGATGTGTTTTTCTCTGAACATTTAATTCTGAGTAGGATCCGTTTATTCGTGATTAATATTATGAAAAGTTGTTATATTCCGCGTGGGAATCGGTTGAAAACTGCAGAATATTTTTCTTCTGAAATTCTGCTGGATTCACAGTGGTCAAATTGTTCATATATTTGAGCATAGCTGGCTTGTTTATCTATTTGTTGTTATTAGACTCTTGTGTGATTTTTTTTTCTGTTCATGGTGTTTCGAAAATATTAATAAATTCACAAATTTTGCGGCTCTTTCATAGTTCTGCAACATGCGGCTCTTATACTAAAAAATTGTGCCCACCCCTGGCCTATGGCTTAGCTACTGAACATTTGGATTTCCCCGAGCATCGATTTTCTTGTTTATTACAGTATTATCTTAACGCTTAACCATAACCAATCAGAAATACTTGTAGTTTCTGCTGTCGCTCAGACAGATGTTCAAGCAGGGTTGTAACATTGCCTCGCTTTAGTTTTGCGTGTTATTTGTGAGTTTTTAGTTCTGTTTCCAAAAAATAATTTTTCAACTCAATTGCCATTGTGCCTTCCCAGGAGCTTTAGTTTAGTTGCAATAATCAAAATTTTGCCTCACGGACGATGTGATTAACCACGCTAAAATTGTCTATCAGTAGTCCACCTGTATTATGTCGAATGTAGATTCTGGTGCTGGCATTCAATTAATTTTTACTTTTTTTTAAACCCTTCATCCCGCTGAAGTGGAAATCGCCATGATAGCAAATTAGCAACCGAAAATACAACTTTCAATGAGAAAAGACATTTGTATGACTCACTAAATGAACCGATTGCTCTACATCAGCATATTGCAAACCCATTATCGAGCCAAAGGCATCAAATCGGACGAATCATAGGGCTTTTGTACTTGGTAATATTGTTGGCTTTTTTCGTCTTGATTTGGCTTTTTTTGATCACTGGGATCTGGCAACTCTGTTGGTAAGTACGTGGTTTTAAAATTAATTACAATTCGATGTTTACGATAAGTCCTTGGGTATGTATCGAGGAAAAGTTCAACTATGGTAAGAGGGAGTGACGTGAAGAAATAAAAATTATGAATGGCGCGCCTAGGATGAGTAAGTTTTGCACCTGGTTTGGGCTGGGTATTGTAAAATTGGCACTTGGTAATGTATGGAAAGGTCGGGCGTAGGATAAATAAAATTAGTTTACGGCTAGGATTAGATAATAATAATGAAAGGGGGATTTGAGTTTCCTGGTTAGGTACCGTGTTTTTGATATGGCTACGTCATAACATTTGGTTTGACTAGCGTGAGGTTCTACCACACTCTACTGGTAGCGCTAGGCCCAAAATGGGTGATATCCGAGATGGGACAGTAGGTTTCACGCTACCGTGCTGGCTTAGTGTACTATAGATCCAGGCTATTGTGTGGTAGACCTCGCGCTGTGATTTTCTGTTCGATATGCATTAATTTTACTTAGATTTGACTTAACTCATAGGCTAACTACCTGTTTTACCACCTGTAGAATTCGAACCTAAAATTATGGCCTAACATTAACCTGGTACACATGCCACGTTCTGGTGTCCGCCATCTTGGTTCACATACTTCATGAGCGCTCTTTTAGTAGTATATGAAGTAGTACAAAATAAGGTATTTCATATAGTGATGGAACTGAATATGGATCTTTTTATTGTTATGTTTGTATAAATTGTCATGGTGTTATGCACAGAAGTTTGTGGAGTCAGAGCCATGGCTGCGACTAATATATTTCTCAATGGGTTGACTCTTCTTGGCCGACTCCAAACACCTGTGTCGAGTTAACCCAGTCTTATTTAGCACTGTCGTTTTCGTTTTTGTCTGACTACTCTTAATGTCGGACGCGTAATAGTTGTTCTGTATTTCATCTTTTCAAACCGTGGATTCCTACTAGAAAATAAAGTTCTGTTTTTAATTATCAAACCTACTGCGAGGCTTCGCAGCACACGATGTTTTACAAACTCGGCAAGCAGTTGGAAGTTTGGAATTCCATTGAGTAGGTTTCGAAATTTACAATTGATATGAAGAAGGCAGAGTACTTTTTGATTCGTATGAAACGTTAGGACCGGCACACCTACTGCAAACAGTGCCTGGAAATTTCTAACCATGAGTCATCAGAAACAAACATACGAGCCTCTTTTGCTTGGTGAGTAAAGTTTTCAATTATATTTCTTAGACTATTTAGTTTTAGAACTATTCTGACCAGCTGATTAAAGTCAAATAAAGCCACACAGTTATCAATTACGAATATATTATTCAAAATCAGAAACTATAATCAAAGCAATAGTGCAAATAAATGAAAAATAGGCTAAGTTTTTATATAAAATTTACCGAATCTGATGTCATTTATTTTTTTTCTCAATTTTTAATATTAAATTGGCAGATATACATTTATTGTAAATTGTCACTTACCAGTGTATGAACTAGCAAAAAAATGACGATAGCAAGTAGCACTTAGTCTTTATGCTATTTAAAAATATTAAACATTTTTCTTATGTTTTATGCTTGATAGAAGTTTCTCCCTGGAATGTATATGGTATTTAAAAACTTTTTGCAAAAAAACAAATCGGACCAAATTACATTTTTGTACGAATTTCTTGTATGCGTTTCGGTATTTCTTCAATAAATACAAGTGGGATTATCAAACGATATTACGGCAGCACATTCTGCGTCTATTTTCTGACTTGTAATTATAAAACATTATGTACATTGATTGTCACATTTAACATATTAACATTGTTTTGCGTAAGGCAACTCTGATTCGTCACTGACGTGATATCACATATGGCCGACAGCAATAGATTCACACTTGAATCTTTCATCTGTATCAACGTGTTCAGCTTGATTTGTCTCCGGATCAAATTTGTACAAAGAAAAATTGCTGAAAAAATATGGGTAAGTTTTGTTAACAATTTACCTAATTTGGAACAAACCTTTGGGCAAAAAGTTCGACTCACACGATCTTCAGAAGCAAAAAAAAATACTGCAAAATTTACTCAATAGGTAGGAAAGACTTTTTCAAAGAGAAAAACTTCCAATTTAATATTTTTGTATTGGATAGGCAATGGTGAATTGAAAAGCAACAAAAATTGTTCAAAATCGTTACCACTGACATGAACGAACATAATTTGAATTCATACTTACTCTTGCGCATATAAAACAAAATATATTTCGTTGGTGAGGGCAATAATTCGCTTAATGCAACATTCATCAACCAGAAGTAATTTTGCAGTTTTGGTCGAGGAAGTTTGCTTTTTTTACTGTAGTGTTACTAATATTCTTTAGTTTTTATTAATACTATAATACTTATTCATGGACACATATTAAACTATCGGTACCTATACTTTACCAAGATGACAATACGACTTGAACAGAACACTAGAAAAGAAAATATAATAAATATGCAGACGGAAGGATTTAGGAGTTCCAAAATAGGCAGAGAAAGGAATTCAAGACAGAAATAGGGAACCACTGTGTTAACATGTTTTCATAAAAAACTGCGTTTAATTCTTAAAATCGCGTCCTTTATTAAATAGTCATGGCCTAAATAGTCCTAATAAAAAACAACGACTGGAATATCTTTGTCAGCGGCAAACAGGGATGGCCAATTCGAATAAAGTATTCGAATATCTCGTCATTCGAATATCGGAATTCACGTTCATAAGAATATCGGATATTTGTGTGACGTCACACATTTTCGACGCCGCTTTCAAGACGTTTCCGTTGAATGAAAACATTCTCGATAGTACCTTGCGCGTGATTGTTTTCATCACTCATCAGCGTAACGTAATATTTAGGCCCGTAAACGCCTTTACAATTGTGTTATTTTCTCTAAAACGAAAATTTTCCACAAATTTGTTCCACGATAACGATAACATTTATTTTATTTTTGTACACGCACGGAATTGTGAATCTGGTAAATACGTTCATCGGCGGCGAGTTTCTAAAGACAACGCAACTTTTTGATTGAAAAGCGGCAATTTAAAATACTGAAAATAAAACCGTAAACAATATAAGTTTTATTGATGCCCGCAAAAATTTAAAAAACGCTTTTCTAGGCAGTGAACGCAAAATTTCGTGTGCCTCTGGCACACATTATGTTTGGTCGGCGTTTAGAAACATATCGTCACTAATTGAGGGCGGGATTTGCCTGATTATCCATTATTTTAAATTGCCGTCAAATATTTTCGTGTTAACACGATACAAGGTTTGAAACGCGACTTTTTCCCGGGTTGTGAGGATGTATATAATATAATTAATCTAAAGTATATTCAATCAATTTTATTTTGATGAAATAAATTTTACTCTGAGATATTACAGCATATTTATGGATTTTTCGAACGGTTTTATCTAAAAATAATCCGAGTGGCAGCATTTCGATCGAGCGGAGTCACTGTTAACAAGTACATCTAAATATTTGCCGAATTCGCAAAATACGTATCAAAACAATATTTAATCGGACAGTTTACCTCACGTTTTTATTTTTATGACCGCGGATTGCAATGGTATATAAGAGTGGTGAGGATTTTATTTTGTCGACGCAACCGCAGGTTAAATTGAAGACAATTAGATTAATAAAGCAAGACATTTTAAATATGCCGGTTTCGGTCACGAATTCATCACTTTGCACAACAGAAAAATATATATTCGTTGTTATATTATTTGTTGTAAAAGTCGACTCTTTCAACAGGTGGCATAATCGCGGCGATGAATATGTATTTTTAATTTACTGCTAAACTTTATATGTATATTCATTGTATGAAATGAATTATACTCTACACTTAACAGGATTTTATATAATTATTTGAGATTTTTCTAACGGCGATAACGAGTTGGCAAGATTGCAAAAATACGTATTAAAATTAAATACATCAGGCAGTTTATCTCGTAATTTTAGGTCACAGATCACCGTGAACGGAATAGTAATGTTTCTTTTTTGACGTAAGAAGAAGCAACCGCGAGTTACATTGGACACATTAAATTAATATATAAAGATATTTTAGAATCTCGTAGTTGTCATGGATTGAATATTTTACGTAACAGAATGATCATCATTATACGCTGACAAGACGACTCTTTTAACGAGCGCGTAATCGCGGTGGTTGTTACAGGCGGCAATGGGAAATTCCGATTTCGAAAATCCTGGCTGCGCGCTCGCAGTGATGGTCATCTATTCTCTACTAATTTATTTCTAATTCCAAACACAACAATATATTACACATAATAACAATATGGTTCTCATAAATTGATATACAAATATACTGGTAGGTAGTAGAATACTCTAGGCCCAAATATTAGAATTTTTAAAGGCATAATGGATTTTCGATTGGTATTGCCAATAAATTTTATTACTCTCAGAAAATATACACAATTATCTGAATACAAGTAGTATTTTTGTCAATAGACTTGACTATTATCGTAATATCATGGTACCAATGATAGAAAGCGTCAGACAACTTTTCATATGGTCATTTGTACAAAGTGATTAATTTTAATTAACTGACTGTGTCACAAGTTGCTATTATTTTTTATTGATAGCTATAAACTATCAATTACTTTGTGTACATATACTGTTGGTTTGTGGCTTCATTCTGATATTTCTATTGAAGCTTATTTCCTAATTTACTGGGTTTTAATCAACTAAAACAAAAATGTGGTATTTTAGAATGTATTCGGAATTCCAGATTCGAAAACATTATTTTAGAATGTATTCGGAATAGTTTAGTATTCGGAAATGGCCATCCCTGGCGGCAAAATAAAATAACCCAAACATATCTGTAATACATACACACCCTTCTGCATCTATAATAAAATAGATTTCGTTGTTGAGAGCAACAATACGTATGAATCTCCAACGAGAATCCGACAACTGAATTTGCAAAGATATTTTCGGCCATGAATTGTTGTTTATATCATAGCAAAGAAGTACTTGGCCACCTGCAGAGTATATGCATTTTATGAATCCGTGCTCCCAAGTGTCAGTACAGCGGCGCTGCAATGACCTAGTCATTCACCCTTATATTATGGTACTGACTCAAAAGAAAAATTAGGTGAATTGATGTTTAAGGGTATGTAGAATATTAATTCTCAATCTTTAAAATAATTACCAACAAATCGTTGACATTGCTTTGGTATTTTACAAGTACGATAGCTTGCTTACTGCAGTATACTGTTACGATATGTGAAGAGGTAATTTTATTTAGAAAGACCGGAATCTTTACTGTTCGGCGTTGTTTTACCAATTTATTACACCTTAGGTGAGATCAGAGAAAGTTTATAGTCACTTTGGGTGAGATAGGACAGGGAATATGAACCCGAAATGTGTAATCTGCGATGTCCAACGCTTCAAACCATCGCGTCGATTTTGAATTATTGACGCATATGGTTAATATAGTTGAATCATAGCTACAAGGTATATATGATTATACACACATTAAGAAACTACGCTTCATGTGGTATTATACTGACGTATGCAAACATCTCGATAACGCTAAGCGTGTGGAAATAATCTTACTCCAGCATCATACCTGCGATGTATATGAGATCGTTTGACTGTGCGGCAGATGCATATTCCATGCCCACAGGCATCGGCGCAGTGAACTCCCATTTTGAACTTTCAGGATCGAATACTTCGCCACTTTCGAGCTTGTTAAGGGATTCATCAATTCCACCGAAACAATACAAACGTCCTGAAATACAAAGAAAATTTACAGTTTCGATTCATCTACAGCAGTGTATCTCAACCTACAGTTTTACTTCGCCGACCACCTTTATTAACAATTCTTTTCAGAGGCTAAAATAGGTCGAGGTAGGGTTGTCCGAAACAAATCGAATATCGAAGTATTCGAATATTTTTTCCGTGAATTTTCGAATAATTCCGAATGATATCCCCTTTTCGCCCTAAGCTAGTTGTTTCGTTTTCGAAGGAAATCTTCAAACTATTTTCTGCGCTTTTTCACGTATTGTAATGACGATGAAATAGAATCTGCACTTTGATTGTTTGTTATCTTCTGTTTCGACGTGTGCGGTATAATATAGTTGCGACAATTTTGCACGGTTGCGTGATGGACATTGTCACCATTCCCTTCACGCATTTATTTCCATTACGTCATAAAAGTGAAGATTATGTGAAGCCCTAATTTTTACGATACCCAAAAATTATTTGTACTTTTTTCCGCTTTTTGACAAATAATTTCGATAATGTTAGTTAAAAGTATCGACTTTTATCAGGATGAATTTCTTTAGCGTAAAATATTCAAATCCATTACTGATACCAGCATTTAAACAGCCGTGCTGTAAATTAATTTAATTTTGTTCAACGTAACTCATGATTGCGCCGACTTATTAAATGAAAGCATTATTACTCCAAAATCACGCTGCAATCTGCAGACATAATGTGCGGTAAACTGCCCGATTATAATTAATTTTTGTTCCGGATTTTCGTACTCACGAAAAAACAAAAGCATTACTGCTTTGAAATACCTCTGCAATCTGCGGACATAAAATTTGTGGGATACTGTCCGATTATAACTGATTTTTGATTGTATTTTCGTACTCACGAAAAAATGAAAGCATTACTAACTACTTGAAATACCGTCATCGTATAAATGGCATGAATGACAGCAGACGCATCCAATCACGCTCGAGCGTCTAAATTGATGGAATCGATTGGAATCCTCATCAGGAAAGCATTGCTATTCTATCAAAATGTCAAAATTATTCCAATTCAAACACAAAATAGAGAAAAATACGAATAATTTGGCTACGAGTTCGTGGCCTACCATGAGTTGCTTGGCGGCCCACCAGTTGAGAAGCACTGATCTACAGGCTACATGTAATATAATGAGAAAGGGTGAATAAATATTAATACATCCCATCAAATACTCTTAAACTTGTTATATATGATCTCACTGCGTGCAAGGGATTTGGTAATGTTTTTATATTTCGATGAAGTCTTCAATGAAAAGTATGGGAACATATGCGATTTAGCTTATAAATAACATGGGCGATATACCGACGTCTATTCACGGTTAAAAGCCTTATTTACCTTTAGCTGTAATAACTACGGGGGTATTTCTTCCTATTTTCATGCTTTCCAACTTTCGCCATTCATTATTCTCTGGATTGTATCTTTCGACTGGGCGGCTCTTCAATCCCAGACCACCACACACGTAGATATATCCTAAAATAAAATATAACAATCACAATATCATTGACTAACCGAAGTTTTATCTACTCCTTTTCCAATTAAAAAACTCCCAAATTAAATATACGACATATTCCGAACTTGACGAAACATGCTAAATCGACTAATTCACACTGTTTTACAATTATTGCAACATTTGACCAATATTCTATTATTTATCCGAATTCATGGTTGAGTTTTGATGTCGTATCCCAACAGTTTTAGTTTATTGACGGTTCAAAAATGACAATTTGGTATTCTTAGCTAAAATGTAATCTAACTTATTGATATTTACTTGCTTGCGTTTGTGAACAGGGCATTTTTTGAATTTATCGAATGGTTGTTCCGTTAAGTATAATGTAAATTAACAAATCGCTATGCGATGCGAATCTTATTTTGTTGCTATAGATGTCGCAATCTGTCCTCCATTCGAGCCATTAGTTTGCAATAAATCGATCGATAAATCGCATGTATGTTGCACAAAGCAAAACCTTGTCTGATCACGTCAATATATGGCAGGATCATTCCTCATGCATATTGGCATTGAAGGTCTATCTTGTGAACTACACCATTGTGGCATAGATAGCTAATCATTGCTTATTCATATTATCATTTTTTTTTAATGTACGAGGTGTGGCTAAAAGGAAACGGGAAAAGGAAATTCTATTGGATTTAGAAGTTTATTTAGATGCATATAGTACAATGTCCACATTGTCTAACACAGGCCTGCACAACATACGGAAGCCTTTTATTGTGGCCCTCGAAACGATTTCATGTGATAATATTAAGGCTAAAGAAATTCACTTCTTAGCAATATATGTTTGTGTATTTGTATTGTGATGTGAGTGTCTGATACAATTGTGTGTATGTGCGTAAAACGGGAATCTACGGTTAGTGCGTGTGTGACCAAAGACTCTTGATTAGTCGATTGTAATGAACAATTGGTGGTTTGCAAAGTGACCTGACTAGCCTATTAATTACAATTTCCATGAATATTATTTAAAAGTCGGATTTTTAGAATTCTTGTGGAAACCTTGTGTCGGTTAATTTTTGTGCTATAATAAGTGTCGCACAAAAGATGTGATTAAGTATTTACCATTCATTACAACTGCGGGTGGAAAATATCCGTGTTTGCTCATCATGTCCGACAATCTTTCCCATATCGGTTCAGAATCGGGATATTTCGTACGATGAACTTCAACATTTGCCATCAGTACATAGAGATTATTGTTCATTGCAACAATAGAATAGTAGCAATTAGAGAGTACGGATATTTTCTAGAAAGAAAAGTAATTTAAGATTATTTTTCGATACAATCAATAGCATTGTCTTCTTACTTTATCTTACCTTCCATTCGTGCCATTCCTTTGTTGCTGGTTTGTAAAAGCAGAATTTATCATAGAAAGACAAGATAATTACATTCTCATCGTTAGCGTTGAAGACTTTTGTCGCTCCTGGATTAGAGAAATGATTAATAGTAAAAGCAGAATTTATCATAGAATAACAAGATAATTACATTCTCATCGTTAGCGTTGAAGACTTTTGTCGCTCATATATTAGAGAAATGATTAATAGAGAATTATTCAAAGTTATTAATTTTCTAAATTGAACTGTCACGAAACATTATTTATATACAAGTTCATCATGTTAAATTGGCAAAGCCCAAGTAAAGTTTTGTCAGACAATTTCACTCGATTGTTATAATTATGGACCCGGATATATTTATAGATAAACATATAAAAATAAAACGCACTCCAACTCCCTATCAATTTACGTATTTATTTGCTTTTTGATATTTTCGGGCATCAGAAATTCTGTATAAATAATTGGCGCCAAAAATTACAAAGCAATCTTTTCAACTTGACTTCATGCAATTACATTTGAATTACAATTACGCAAGAGACGAACGACGAATTACCTATTAAATTGATAGGCTGGTATTCATTATGATTTCTTATTAAACCGTTAGAAAAATACTTTTAAAAATTGAATTGTGATTCCTCCATATCAGTACTCGCCTTGTATTGGTTTTTGTTTGAGTGCCGATGGCTTCATGCCTCGAATCTGCCCTGTTGCCCAATGAACTTCGCTTTCTAATTCTTCACTCTCAAGATTCATATTTTTCAAACTTAGTTCTGAAGAATTTTCCGATTTACCTTTGAACACATACAGTACGATTCGGTAACTATTACAAGTTACAACTAATCAAAATCAGAGTGTCAGTGTACCAAGGCATATAATTTCATAAAATCTGCAGGAATACAAATGATAATATAAATTGATATGGAGAAAAGTATTAACGCGGCATTTGAATTGTAAGCCTGAATCGTGAACATCTAATAGAAAACACTTTACTCGTGACTTTACAGATTATGTGGCAAATATTTAAATTTGACCCAAAAACATGGTTGTCTCTCCAGCAAAAGAAATGATAAAATGCTGCTAAACAAGAAAACCTTCCATCACCTTTCACCGATCTTCGAAATAATTCATCGACTAGAAGTTTGTCAGCCGTTGGGCGATTTTTCGGCTCAAACTGCAGCATCTTGTCAAGCAAATTAATTGCTTTGGTTTTGTCGCTGAGAAGCAGATGGCTGAGATCACGGTTTTTGTTTTTTTTGATGTACATGTTCCATCCATCGGGATCTTCACCAAATGGATGTTTTCCATTACTCCATACCGCGTATATCACGAGACCCATCGAATACGTATCGGATTTTTCAGAAATCACATCGTCGTTATAGGTTTCCGGAGCTCTGAAGCCATCAGTACCAGCTCGCATGATACTTTGGGCAGTGTATGAACGGCCTTTGCGAAGCTCTTTCGACAGACCGAAATCGGATATTTTGGGAGTCTTTTCATCAAGCGACAGCAGGATGTTGTCAGGCTTTAAATCGCGATGTATGACGTCGTTTCGGTGAATAAACTGCAAACCGTGGAGCAGCTGCTGCGCAAACGATATGGCCAGGTCGTCTTCAAATGGGACGCGCAATTTTTCTCTATTTTTCAGAAAATCAGTAAGATTTTCATCGTGACAAAGTTCCATAACAATGAACATTCTTTGGGTGAACGGGTCCCCATGATATTCGTCGGAATGGATAATGGAAACAACATTTGGATGAAGAGCCAGCTTTAGAAGAACCTTGGCCTCCTGCAGGTTACGTTTGTTGAAGTCGAGGAATTTGATCGCCACAGGTCTGGGACCAGTTACCTTGCTCAGCTGCTCTCCACGATAAACATGTCTTCTTCCACACAATGGCTGATCGCGGAATGCTCTGAACACGCCGCCGACATTTATATAATCTAACAAACCAAAGAACAATTAAGCTATGAGAAAAGATAATCTATTTCCTGATTGGTTTTGTGCACATATTGATAATAAATGAAGCACAGTGCATATGCACATGTGTTAACTATTGGTGAAAGGTAGCATTGAAAATGTTCTATTGTATTTGTGATAACAACTTATCACCTGTTTAGCGAGCTTAATTTATTTAGCGATATAATCGAAGCAAAACCCATTTTCTGGGCGAATTTCGAACCTTCATATCATCGAATAGTCCTAAATCTGGGATCTGTAACCCAAAAGTCCATGTCCGTCAATGCAAATCACCAAACCCTCGTTGTTGTTGTGTGCCCCAACAGTTGCGAGTGTAAATGATGTGTTTTGTTTTATAGCAATCGTTGTGTTTGAAGTAGGATAGTATCACAAATACTCCACACGCCGTAATTTTTTTTTTACGGGTGCGACGTATGGGTTGCTTCGAGATGTCGTCGAAGCCGATTGCTGGTCTGATATTAGCCATAAAAAACGGTTCCATTACATTTGAACCCACGTACATTTGAACCCATGACAATTGCACCTGTATGCTATTGCACCTATGGAATTTTTTTTGTGTCACGGATAGTTAAACCCATACTAACCCTAACCCATGGGTTTTAGCACCTGCATATAGATTGAACCCGTGGATATACGCATGGGTTCAAATGTACGGTCACCATAGAAAACAAGTTGTAGTAGTAGGAATTTCAGAATACCGCCATAAAGTAGAGACTGCAACGAAGCACTGACAACGTAAGGGCGGTGGAAGAATGGGATTGGAAATTTCTGTCGTGTGCATAGTTACTTTTGTGTAAGGAAGCTCAATATGTAAGTTAATTTGTTTAAAAATATGTTGAGAAATGTCTCAAAGCATTAGTCTTGGCTTTTATGGCAGATAACGTCCTTAACCCGACAAAGTTATTTAAGTAAGTGACAATTTAAATAAGGCCGCGGTTGAGGCTAAAGACGAGTTCAGTGGAAATAAAGAAAATCCAGTATCAGATTAATATTGAAACACGCGGTGCACACGCTTCAACTTGCTATTCGTGAAGGTTTGAAGGAAAAGCATGTCCACATATTAAGAAGCAAGCGACGTCATCTTTCAGTGATGATAAGGATACTGATGTTAATGTTTTTTCAAATTGCGGAACAGGAAAAGATGCAATAACTAAGTTGCTAGATGGAGTAGTACCCGTCTTATAGAAAAGAGAGAAATTGATTTGCCATATCCAGATTCGCTAGCTGATGCAAATCTTCAATAGCAGACATACAGTAGGAAAGTTACAAAACGCGCTTTTTCGCGCCAAAAATGTACGCATCACATCTGATAAGTTCCGTTACGCCGTGTCAGAACACCGCTCATAAAAACGACTACGGACTGCCTTTTTCTCTGTTATTTCTTGACCGTTTTCTACAATTACTGTAATGACTGCTGAATTATATTTCTTTGAAAAATACCACGTTTGGGTGAAATTTGACGCTTGACGTTCTTATCCGATGGTGGAAAATCTCTGCTAAAGAACTGTTCGCGGTGGTCATCGGAACCCCTGTGTTCACTAAAATTCATGCTAATAAGTGTGGGATAGACGGAACACGACATTTTTGAGACACCTCGTCAAGATCATGAAAAAGTAAATAAATTGTATTTTTCTCGAATAATTACAATGGCAATTAGAACGCATTATTATATCGATAAATGCGCATTTAGCATCCAAGAATTTACTCCGTTAACTGACTCAAACTAGACTATACATTAAACTGACTGCATATCAATTATCCCAATAGAAACATAAAATTGTACATTGGTTGATTGGGTACTGGTTATTATATCGACAAATACGCATGTACTAAGTAAGCATTTACTTTGTTGGCTCAAGCAAAATATAGTTATGACTCCGACTAAACATTAAACTGGCAATTGTTGTATTACTTTCAATTTATGTTAGATTTCATAGCTGAACTAATATGCAATTTATTAAATTAATCAGCGTGGCTAAGACCTCCACGCTCAAACAAGAGTCATTAAATTACACTTGTCAACTACAATTACTCTGTCGAGACATTTCTTCTAGGTGTAAGTATGTTTTTATCCAAGTATAATGACACGAAACCTTACTGAGATATAATTACTATACCTTCGTTCGAATTGCCAGTTTTGTATCCATTAACAATAGCTCGTATCTTTGACACTGTAGCCGCAGAACCTAAATATCGCAAATGTTACATATACTCATTTTACTATAACGAAATTGATTTAATCGGAGCACTCATTATGATAAAAAATTTTTTTCTATTTGAAAATTTCAACTGAAATTGACTGTTACGACTAGACACACCGGCGGGATTGTTTTGAAGAGAACAGAGGTAGGCCCGAGTCCACACACCCTTCACTGGCAATACAACCGACTACTTTTGGCTGATTTGTTTAAATAGCAATTTTTATTGTTTAGTTAGGTAATGTGGGAAGTAAAATGCTAAAATATTCACTCTATTCTCAATTTTTAAGATATTTCAATCGAACCATTCTCCATAATCTGGATCCTATTAATATTGCTTTCAATTGAAAAAAATATTTTCTGTTGAAATAATAAAATTCAGGAATAAACCTCACCGGAATTTTGCTGCCACTTCATCAACATTTGCAATTTTTGCTCTTCAACCGATTTACCAAAGTCTTCCACAATGTCATCGATCTCGTGTTGATCCAAACGCAGCCCAGCGCTGGAACGAGCGAATTTTTTAAAGTTGACGATTTTGGGAAAAGCTAGAACGACTTCTTCCTGAAACACGTCTTCGAGGCGTTCTGAAACCGGAAATACATGTGAATATTATTTTTATAAATTTCTCTATTTCATTATTACATTTTTTAGATATTTGCGTCTTTACAACAACATTTTTGAATTGTAGTTTACTTATGTGTGAACATTTGATACTATTTAGAAGTAAATGGCATAAAATCGTCTTACATAAATAAAAAATTGGGTTGAAGTATTAATGAAATAAACGTGGTCACAAAAATTTCCGACCAATTTTAACAAGAATTGAAGTAAAGTAAAATGAACGCGTAAGAAAAAATTTATGTAAAGTATTCCATATTTAGTAGTCATCAATATCATACCTAATGGATATTTGCTTGCCATGTTAGTTTCCCGTGAAGGTAGTTTTTCCCTTTTTTAACTTACAGTACAGTTATAATAATAAGTAAATTTCTTAGTCTGGGAAGTAGATGAGTAAGATATCATTAAACGTCTAAGTTGGGTGATGTAGAAAGCTTTTAAATTCCATTGCGTTGGATATTGGTATAAATTAACAAGACGTCTCGTCGCAATGACGTCATACAGTATGTATAGACAGTTGGGCCCTCCAGAAGTGTGTGTACCAATATGGAGGTAACTAATTTTGTTTGCTTATTTTACATCAAGTTGTGCAAGGGACTAAAACCTATGGACAGAGAGTATATTCACTTGGCTAACACAGACAGTTCCAAACTTGTAATAGATCTGAAATAAGGAAAATCAGAATAAAATTATGGCCCAACCCTAACCTCGTGCACACACTACAAGAGTACCGACAATCAGTGGCGTAGCCAGCCCAAAATTTATTTTCGGGGGGGGGGGGCAAATTTGAAAATTATATTGTATAATTAAATTAGAAATTATATTGGGTTTAAGACACCCCTTCTTCAAGCGCGAAACAACTTAGCTGGCTTTTTGTGAATACAAAATTCATTTTAATAAACAACTTTTTATTTGAAACAACAATTATTAACAACGCAATTTGAATAAGTAAAATACATCGCCCCGATTAAAAGTCCATCCTTCGCTTCCCGCCAACCATGCTCGACACAACTCGATTAATTTTCTCCTCGGTGACAGTGAAGCACACACAAATCAGAAAGGCGATTGGACGTCATTGATGAGCGAAGCCATGTCTTTACCCGTTTCATGCATGAGAAAGACCGCTCAGCCTCACTGGTGGTTGCTAGTAGCGTCATAACGATCTGAATTGCGGTGTGCACGCTTGGATAATTTCGAGCGCTCAGGAGAAGCCCCTCCAAACATTCGTCTTTAATGTCGGAATTTAAAGAAGTTCTCCACAGTCTCACTTCATTCTGGAGGTTATCCAATAAATACAGACGTTCTACCTCATCCACGTGAACTGGTTTGTTCGGTGGAAGAATTTATAGCAATGAAAAAAATGAAGGGTTGTCAATAGAGGGTTCCCGAATAGAGCATACGGAACGTTTAAAATACTGGGATGCTGAATCAGCACAAACATTAACGCGATAAACTTGTACTTCGACTACTCTGGGTATTGTCAACTCTTTCAAGCCAGCTATTTCACAAGCTTCTTTGTAAATATTCAATGCAATTTCCGAGTCATTGCGTTCTTCAGCGATAAAGCTCTGAAGAGAGGATGTGAGGTTCTTTACTGACAGAACACCGACTCCGACCGCCTGAAGTGCGCGAGCTAGTGGCTCCATCAGTGCCGAATATTGACCAATCAAACATACGGCGTAGATAACGGAAGACTTTTCCAGAGCAGATTTCAGAGAGAAAGCCTTCGGCCGCGTCTCACTGTTAGCATCTCTCGCCAAAGAATCAAGAGCCTCAAGTACTCGTTTGAAGTTGCATTTGAAGATTCGGATGCTCCTGTACTTCTCAGACCATCTGGTGGGGCAGAACAAAGGGATGTTAATTCCTAAACACGCGCGCCTTTTAGGGCTCTCCCTGAAAAAACGAATAGTCTCCCGAATGATATCACAGGTGCTTCTGATGATTGCAACTTTACTCTGGTCATTTATGACCAAATTCAAACAATGAGAAGCGCAGTGCACAAATATCGCGCGCGAGTATTTATCACGAGTGCAAGGTCCTGCCATTGTCGTTGCACCATCATAGCCTTGCCCCACAAGATTTTGCAAATTCACTCCTATACCAGAGAGGTGGGTCAAAATATTTGAGGAAATTGACTCGGCAGAAACGGAACCCATTTCCACTAATCATGTGAAGCGCTCGCACACTTCACCACCTTTCACGTACCTCAAAACGATGCTTAGTTTTTTTTTTTTCAAAAATATCACATGATTCGTCGGCTATTACGGACGCAAACGATTTATTAGCCTCCATAACGATATCTTGCACTATCATGTTGCTTGCAACCTTGAGAATTTCATTCTGTATCATCGGGCTTGTATACTTGGCGTTTCCGGCCATTCGAGCAAAATGCCTTTTCAAATCTTCATCCCCTGCGTCGATACGAAATAGAAGAAGGTTCACCAAATTTCCACTATCCCCGGAATGTCCGTGCAAGGGTATGTTACCCGAAGCACAGAACATGACAGTCTTGACAATGGAAGTCATTATTCGTCTGTTTTCTTTTGTTTGCGTAGCCAATTGGGCCTCCATGTTTGCACGCACATTTAGACCAGTTTCCATGCTTTTGACAAAATTTTTCGCAGCTATAGTTGATTCTCGTTGATAATTTGTGTCTCGGTGGCTACAGCCTTTTCCATAAGAGCGAACGGTCAAGTCTTTGTGACGTAACAATGACAATCAGCAAGCGTGACGAGACAAGATTGCCAAAAACTGGTGGATTAATTAAGAATGGAATTCTCGAAAGAAAAATTTTTTTTTTTTGGGGGAGGCTATGACCCCCTCTTCCCCTCCTGGCTACGCCTATGCCGACAATCGTGGCGCTGACAATACAAACGTAAACTGATATCTCGCAACTTGTAATCCTTATGCAGATCTCAAAAAGAAAGGAAATCGTCATATCGCTAATCAAATTTCACCACCACTAACGGGTCTGTTTTGCGGGACAATTAGCATTTAATAAAATTCGGATTATCATATTGATTTCCATACTCACAACGCAAACCTCAAATCTCCAAAAAAGAAGGTAAGCTGACAGATTTGGAGTTTTAAATTTAGTATACATATGGGAAGCATACAGTAAGTACCACATTTTATACACAAAAGTATTGTTCCAACTACAGTAATGGGAGAGGAAGTAGTAGGTTCGTTAGGCCAGTGGTTCCGAAACTTTTTTTTTTCGCGACCGCAATTTTCATAAAATCGAAGCCTACAGATATTCGAGACCCCACAGCTAGAAACGTTGAGCAACTTCAAAAATCAGTACTGCATATCAGTTTAATTACCCCAATGGGAACAATGTACCTGTATATCAACTGCAAGTGGACGTTTACGGTGAACCTTAGCCGAAAAATATATATGAATGAGTCCGACAATGCACCGGAAAAACCTCAGAAGATTTGATAACACATGTCATCGTATGAAAACCACGATGTAAAAATCTCTTAGACCGGAATTATAACGGTTCTTTCTTTAGCGAAACATAGACGGACTTGATAAAATGTGGTAGATCAGCGGTTCCCAAACTATGGGTCGCGACTAGGACTGGGCGTTTCGAAACACTGATATGTCGAAACGGCGGCGTTTCGACCTTCGAAACGGATATTATGACGTCATAGCAAATGCAACCTGAAATTAGTCAAGGTATCATTCAGGGATGTCCAATTCGAATTTAATATCCGAATTTATTCGCATATCGTGACTCTCAAATATCATTTTTAGTGTTTATATGAATATTAAAAATATCGCGCAAACGTCCTAGCGCCACCGTCCACGTTTTGATTGAAAATTTTTACAATCAATTCATACTCTTTGCGAGGCGCAATAAATTACTTAGTCGAGATAGTCTGGGTATCCGCGCAACAAATCTAAAATCAAATCAAATTTAGCTCAACTATGTCGATGTCACGCTGACGATAAACAGTCAGAGTCATAACGAAAATTAGCCGTATCAAAAATCCGAGTTAATGTTGATTTTACTGTATAATTCAAACATTCCACCTAGTTGTACTTTTTTCTGTGCTTGCCAAGATACACCACAATTCATAAATACTGTGATGTTTATCAAGTCCATTTCACTAGAGCAAAAAAATAACTAATTTCAATCAACAAGAGACCAATTCCTATGTTCCTGTAGTTCATAATATATTCGGAATTCGAAAGATTCAAAAATATCTTTTTCCAGAATGTATTTAGTAGTCAGGTATTCGGTCAAGCTCTCCCTGGTATAATTACCACACTAGATCACAAGGATTTGTGGCATCGGATAAAGTAGAAAATGACCCCACCCATTACATTAGATGAGGGCAGGGCCGCATTGAGACGTTGAGAGGCCCTATGTTATGCTGCTTGTGAGCCCCATCTCTAACAATGACGTAATTCATATTATCCTGGTGTCATTTGGCCGCTGCTTTTACATTGAGCAGAAACCTTCGTGGAATTATCATTATCGTTTTATCCTCTCGAATTAGTATCCAGTGCTATCCTTTTGTGGATTTAATTGTGGAAAATAGATGTCATTATACATTAACCCTGCTGAAACGCTTAAATTCGATGGGTAATAATGGTATCATATTTTACTGTTTATGACAAACGTGTGTTTCGTTTCGTTTCGAAGGCAAAATTTCGTTTCGATTTCGAAACACCAGGTCGTGACCCACTGGTGGGTCGCAAAAGGAATCTTGGTGGGTCGTGAAAAGATGTAGAAGCTTTGATTAATTTACTGTTATTAGGATCGTTGGCGACTCGAATACGAAAAATCTTTAAAAGGCCATAAGAAATTAAATTGAATTGAAATTCTAATCTGGGAAAGTGTTTTCTTTTCACGATCTTCTCAAAGGAACAAAAATTTGCTACAAAGAATGACCGTGGGACCAGTTTTGTACACTGTACAGTACAGCACTTCTTATCGTGTTTCTTTCCCCAAAGTTTAAACAGGATTTAGATTTATTTTCTTTTGAAAAATGACACTAGAGTTATTTTTAGAAGAGGTCTTTTGTGTTCATTTATCAAAAATAAAATTACATTATAGATAATCACGAGATTTTTTAATAAACATTATATATATAAAAACCGACATCCAGTGTTTTTATTTGTATTTCCTATACCGATACAAACTTTTCAATATGATCGAGAACTTTTCAAAAAATAAGTTAGGACATTGATGTTAAAATTATTTTTTCCTAGATAGATCGTGAACTATGAGCCATGTACGCCCCCACCCCCGCGATTGGAAACGGGAATAAGATTCTGACCTATTTTTAGCT